TCACCTCTTTTAGAGATTAAGGTGGTTATTGTTGTTAGGTGCTGTCAAGTCAATTCCAACTCACACTGACCACATGTGACAGAGGAGAACTGCCCCATAGGGTTTTCTGGGCTGTAATCTTTATGGGAGCAGACTGCCAGGTCTTTTCTACCCTAGAGCCACTGGGTGGGTTCAAACTTTCAACCTTTCCGTTAGCAGTTGAGTCACCAAGGCTCCTTAGAGTGTGATTAGTGTCTAGCCATTAACATCAAGTATAATTAACACACTTGATATAACTGGCTACATTAGAACATAGAAAAAGAGAGAAAGAGAAGTAAATGTTAGCAATGTCCATCCATCGGGATGTTCTAGGCATTCCTGCTTATAAAAAACAAACATTTAGTGCAGCATCACATCCTCTATGAGTGCTTACATAAACGAGATGACCTCTGTTTATGAACACTGATCTGCTGTCAAGGGCTAGATGTCTACAATTATATCACTATTAGCAATGATGGCTGAACTGAGCTATTCACACATTTTCTTACCTGATTTCTTTGTGGTCACCTCCAGGTAACAATTTTGTCAGGGGGAATCTAACTAGATTCAACAAGGACTTTGACCTTATTATCCTGATAAATTAGTATCCATAAGCATATCAACGGCAGAAATAAGTACCACAAATTATGTGGCTTTCTGAAGGGTTTTGGCTCAAAACTGATAAATCAACCCCTCTCTACCCTTTCTTTAATTTTCAACTAAAATTTCTATTCTTTATAAAACAAACCGATCCTTAACACTTTATTTCAAAGTCAAAAGCTCCATCCAAGCGAGCAGAGTACATGACAGATACTACACATCTTGTCTCCCATTTCAGAGACTAAAAGAAAGACATACAGCAGGGGGTAGGAAAGTACAGAGCACTGATGTGACAAACTACTAAAGCCACGCAATAAATTATCTTTTGGTCACTCACTGCTACGTCTTGAAAATAGTAATGCAAAAGGAGAGCCAATCCTTCCTTCAGAGGAATATGGGCATCCTGTAAAGACATCTTCCTAACACACTAGCAGCAATGCTGCCCTCTCATCCCTTACACAACTTGCCGAGCAAAAGACGCATCGGTGGGTTCTAAAGACAATGACGAGGCGGTGTATTCTGATGCTGGGAGGGAGTGCTTCCTGAGCCTAAACTATGCCAGACTGCCTTGCTAATCCTCCCCAAATCCCACAACATTGGGGTGGGGGTGGGGAACAGAATAGAAAATAATCCAAAATTGAATCAAGGGCAGCAGCTCTGGATTACAGGAGGTCATAACATTCCTATTTGAATCGGGGGAGGGGAGAATGTATACAAAGCCTGTACGTTTAAAAAATCACAACACAAAAATGAATTTTATCCCTGATCCATCTCATGTGCTAACCAACATCTGCCCCCAATCACTTGCCAGCCCTGGCTGCACGGAAGGCACAGAGTAGCAGGCATTTTCACACAGTGAGGCTGGAAGAGATGCTACTAGAGTGTAAATTACTAATTAGCTCAATAGAAGACAAAGAGAGAAAATACCTGTCACAGAATGCTGTTTACAACTTGACACATAATAAAAACAACCCTGAAAATTTCAGAAGAGCGCCTTACTTTCCAGACTTCTATTAACATGTAAATGGCAAAGAAGCAGTATTATAGTCTTTAAAAACCGCCCATATCTCAGAAACAATAATGCGTGGCTGGAAAGAATGCTTTCCAAATAATTTATAATTTTCTCATCCTCATGAAATTGAAGTGTTTTTAATTATTACAATCAGCTTTAATTAGGAGCTATATTTCATAGCTCTGATGGTTGCTTAAAGAGGAGGAGAAAAGAAAAAGAAGGCCACGAGTGCTGTATTTTACATTTGTCAGAATACAGCTAATATTCCTTTCACTAAAATTGGACAGGTCTCATTCGGCAGGTTATATCTTTATCAAATGAACAAGCTTATCATGTTCAAAAAAGATTGCTAAAAGGTGGTGGTAGAAGTCGATTAAACAGGTAAATCTCCTAATATGACCATTGAAAAGATTTCCAAAATTTAGGTTTACTTTTTGGGAAGGTAAGCGAATGTTGAGAAGCCCTGGTGGCGCAGTGGTTAGGCACTTGGCTGCTAACTGAAGGGTTGGTGGTTCAAACCCACCAGCTGTTCCACAGGAGAAAGATGCGGCAGTCTGCTTCCATAAACATTTACAGCCTTGGAAACCCTATGGAAACCCTACTCTGTCCTATGGGGTTGCAATGAGTTGGAATCAACTCAAAGGCAACAGGTTTCAATGGAATGTTAAGATATTTGTTTATCCCTTACCTTAAGGCAAACCTGTTTGTATTCATCTCAACCAATGTTCTTAAAGCACTACACTCTGCATTTTGATCTTTCCCGGCTACTTGAAGCTACATAAGGATCTTCAAAATATGCATTTCACCTTCATATTTCTTGGTCATGGTGTTGAAAGGTCCCATAGCTCCTGTCTGCCTGCATCACAATGATCCATACCTCATCAGTAGCTAGCAAGTCCTGAGCATCCACCTTGCATGTGAACATACCATGCTAGGTGCTAAGGAGGCTCCCAACAGAAGGGTACCCAATGACAATAGTTCTCGCTGATGACAGACGGGTCTACAAACTAGTCCTTCATAGGTGAAAGAACTTCTTTCAGATATCCTGAAGGCAACAGACCATCACCACAAAAGCCACTCTAAATCCAATTCGGGGATTCCTTTGCTTCAAATATTTGACTAAAATCTAACACACACCACCTTTCTGGTACACTCAAAACATTCTTCTCTTTTTAAAATTAGGGCCTTCATATACATTTTCTTCAACTTTCCTTTTTAAAAAAATACTCAAACATGAGAAAATGATAAAGAAAATGGGGCAAAATCAAAATAATGGGTGAATTTAAGTAAGGGTATACAAGAATTTCTTGTACCATTTCTGCAACTTCTCTGTAAGTTTAAAAAATTATGATAAAATCAAACATCACCCAAAATCAGATTATTAACAACCGAAGCTCCCTCACAGGGTTGTTTCAAGTTTCAAACAAGTCACATACTTAGCTCATGCTGGGCACTTAGTAAACACTCAGTAGTTGCTGGACAGTTTAAAAAATAAGCAGATCAGTTTTTTATTTAGCCAAATTAAAGAATGGGTAAATGTACTAGTATATTACTTACACAGGCACACACAAAAAGAATACAGTAAAAAACCAGCAAGAGTCTAAACAGATTTTGCTTACGAATATTTGTGCTGAAACACGACTTCCATTTTTCCTCAATAGGCCACAGTATCTCAACTGCAAATCTGTTACGTTATATACCAAGTCCAGGGCCTTTTTCTAGCCAAAAGTAGTAAGGCATTTTAAAAACTGGTTTTGGTTTGACCAGAACTAGATGGTGCCCAGGAACCACTATCAACCATTATGATCAGGGCCACAATAGATGGACCCTTACAGAATGGGAGAAAAACACTGAACAGAACTCAAATTCTTAAAAAGTACAGACTTACTACTGGACCAGTTGAGACTAAGGGACTCCCTGAGACTATCACCCTGAAATACTCATGAAACTCTGCACTGAAACTACCCTGAGGTCACCTTTTAGTGAAATAACAGACTGGCATACAAAATAAAGGCTATTACCCGTGAGTATGGTTTTCCATTAAAAAGCGACTTCTGTGAGTTCAAAAGGTCAACAATTACTCTAAAGAAAAGATGACAAGATAAGGGCGCAGGGAAACTACAGCACTGGAAATGGAACAACCTGAACACAACTAAAGGGCATGATTGACTCACTGTGAAAAATGTAACCAATGTCACTAAACAATTTGTACAGAAATTGTCAAATGAGAACCTAATTTGCTATGTAAACTTTCACCAAAAACACAATAAAATATTATTTTTAAAAAATTGGCTTTGGTTTGCTTTGTACTATAATTTTGGAATGAAAAAACAGGAGCATGTAAGATCCATGATGTAACGTTTGCATATACATAACCCTTATGGTATATGTCCCAGGTTCCCCATCTAGAAAGGAACTAAGAAAAGGTTTATGACAGAACCAGAGGGATAATTTAAGACTTCGTAAACAAGATCTGTTAAGAGATTAAACAAATCAGCACTGTTCAATTTGAAGAAAAGCATGATGAGGGATTACTTAACAAGAAAGTGGAGATAATAACAGAGCATAGTGAGTCAAGGCACAAATTCTGCCTACAAAATGCCCAGGTTCAAATCCCAAGCCCACAACTTGGTAGAATTCTATGTCATGAACAACTGAAATAAAGATTAAATGTATGACTGTATACTTGACAAAAAGTATCATTATTTGCACTAAAAGATTACCCACTATCAAATTATCTCAGTATAACCTTGGGCAAGTCATTTAATCTCAAGGAGCCTCTATTTTATCACATGTAAAATGGGAATGATAATAGTGCCTACCCCTCAGGATTGCTGTGAGGAATAAACGAGTTACAATTTGTAAAGCCCTTACGAAAGTGTCTAGCAAAAAAATAGTATACTCAGATTACCAGTACCAGTTGCTGTTAAGTCAACTCTAACTCATGGCAACCCTATGTGTGCTGGAGTAGAACTGTGCACCATAGAGTTTTCAATGGCTGATTTTTCAGAAGTAGATTGCCAGGCCTTTCTTCCAAGGCACCTCTGGGAGGACTGGAACCTCCAACCTTTTGGTTGACAGGTGAGTGTGTTAACCATTTGTATTACCCAGGGACTCCACTCATGGGTTAGCTACTATTATTAAGTTTATGAGGGACTAAGATTTTATAAACACTATAATAAGCAGCTATTTTTACTCAAAAATTGAGAGTAAGACAAGAGGAAACACATACAAATACAACATTAAGTTATGCTGGTTAGACTGAAGACACTTTCCTGGTAGAGAAAATAATTAAACACCAGTAACAATTTTCTACAAAGCGTGTCATATTATCTCTAAGATTTATGAAAATGGATAAATTTTTATCTACCTGGGATGATTTAAGTGGGATATTGACTGAAGCTGCAGGTCCTTTCAAGGTCTCTTCCCATCCAAAGAATCTACGATTAACCAGAAAAACATTTAATTATATGTTACCTACTCATTCAAATCTGAAAATATAAACTAAAAAGACATTTTAAGTATGCTTAGTAAAAAAGATAATACTCGGTAAAATTCTACTTGATGAACAAATAAAAATAAAGCTTAAATTTATAATGGGAGTCGTTATTTATGAATCGTATCATTACTTGAACTAAAAGATTATCAATTTTCAAGTAGTTTTAGAAACATCAACTGAGAAATTCAAAATGAGAGATCTGTGATTTAGCACACTATGGCAGTATACAGAAACAAAAGGCAGGGCCCACAGGGACTTCTTCCCTTGGTTGATCTTATAGTTTATATTTTCTTCTCAGTCGATATCGAATTATAAGATAACTTACATAATGATATCAAGTATAAAACAATTATAAAAATGGTAATACCATACACGGGAATACAGCCCACTACTAAGGCCAGCCCAAACACATCTACAAAGGAAGGAAATATGCACACAGAGAAATGGGTGCCTCATACCAAAGTTACTCGGCAAATTGGAAGTTAAAATTTTCAGACTAATCCCCTTGAAACTTAGCAGCAAAAATAGTAATTTTTTAAAAACCTGTTAAATTGCTAAATCACTCCAGTCTCCCTGAACACCTGCTTAACAGAATCCAGGAAAACAAACCATAAACTAAATATTATACCACTTACCTAGGAAGCAGCTAAATCCAGAAAGATTTAAGATTCTAAATTATTTATACTTAAGAATAACCAGTGTTTCTAGTATCTACAAATCAAAATCTAATTTTTGCTATTGCAAATGCCCTACACCTAATCTTTGCTACTTATAAACACCTACAAAACCATGGTAATTCAAAATTTATACAACTTTGAATATACATATACTGTGTATCTGAATGTACATTAATGAAATAACCCCACCTAAGATTCTCAAGGAACGCTGATGGCACAGTGGCTGAGAGCTATGGCTGCTAACCAAAAGGTCAGCAATTCAAATCCACCAGCTGCTCTTTGGAAACCCTAAGGGGCAGTTCTACTCCGTCCTATAGAGTCGCTATGAGTCGGAATTGACATGATGGCAATGGGTTTGGATTTTTTTTTGGGGGGGGGTAAGATTCTCAAAGGAGCCCTGGTGGTGCAATGGTTAAAGCACTTGGCTGCTAACCGAAAGGTAGGCAGTTCGAACCCACCCAGCAGCTCCTCGGGAGAAAAGACCTGGTGATCTGTTCCCGTAAAGATTACAGCCTAGGAAACCCTATGGGGCAGCTGTACTCTGTCCTAGAGTCACTATAAGTCAGAATCGACTTGACAGCACCTAACAACAAGATTCTCAAGAAGAGTTTACATTTTTTTCCTAAGTAAATCATATGCTATCTTTTGACATCATCAAATGTAAATAATCATTCATATTCTTAGCTAAATGTAAAAGCTTTAGAGTAAAAACCATCAAAACAAAATACTCAGTAAGAACAACTAAAATCTTGTACCAAATTTCTTACCTTATCTTTTTAATTTCCAAAAGTATCTTAAAAATCAAAACTTATAGAAAATTAATATAGCCTTTATTCACAACAACAAAACAGGAGTAGTGGAGCTGTCCAAGGCTCTAGCTCACAATTTTATCTTAGATTTTTTTTTTATAATAAAAATTACTCATTGCCAGGGCACAAGACACTATTTAACATAAAAGACAAGTCCACCGCTCTAAAATCCTACACTTCTCTAAAATTCTCACCTTCTTTATTTCACTTTTATTAAATGGGTGAGTTATCTATCGCTACATGAAACATCCCACACAAAGCTAAAGGCTACTTAGGAACTCAAAGCCCTCACAGCCCTGACTTAAATCTCTTCCCCAATAAACTTCCCTGGTTGGTTATTTGCCTTTCTCTGAAATGATTTCTCAATATTTTCCAGCCATTGAAAACAACTGAGCAGAAACCTGGTTGATTAATCAAAACAAAAAGATTCTCATCTTTCTCCATCCCACAACAGTGCACTCTCCATTGAAAATGAAAATGCTGTGGATAAAGCACTCTGCCCAGTGCTTGTCAGGCACAACACTGCTACAACTCCAACACAATCACACTATACAGGCACAGCCACACTGCAAATAAATACAACCCGTTTTCCTATTATCACAAATTAGTGAAGCACAGAGGATTTTTAGCACCCAGAGGTTTTTTTTTTTTTATCACTCACACAAGAACAAAATCAAATCAAAATGGGTCTCATCTATTCAAAGTGAACAAGAAACTCGAATTAAAGGCAATCAAAGGTGGAAACAGGTTAAAGATTCCTTGAAGAGAGAAAGAGGTTTCTGGAATTTCCTACATTTAGGGACAAAAGGACTCACAGCTTCAACATACAGGTCTCTTCTCAACAAAGAGTTCCTTTCTCACACTCCGCACCCCCCTACCCTCCACCCTTACTTTTTAGTTCTCACTCCAATCTCTAGGTCCCTTTTCACTCACCATGTTTTCTCCTCTTCTGCTCCAAAGCCTCCCTACACTTGATCCTACACAACAGCGTTTATGCCCTGACCCATCCAGACTTTCTGGAGCATCTCCCCACAACATGCACATTTGATCCCCACTCCTCTGCAGGCCATCCCAGTTCTAATCCATCAGAACTGCCCTAGCTTCCCTTAACCCCTTTCTCTTCCCTTACTCTCCACCTCATCCTTTAAAGTCTGTGGCCCATGTCTTACTTGCTCCTCACTGTCTGCTTTTAGCCCTGTCTCTTCACCTCAGTTTTTATCTGGGATCTTGCTGAACCTGTTCAATTAATACAATTCCCAGTTATCCTTGTCCCAGACGGCCATCACTTCTTACACCCTTACTCTACTCTCCTTTCAGCTTTTCTAGTCCCCCTATCTTCCTATTAGTGCCCCATCTCTCGTCACTATTTCCTTTCACCCCTTCCACTCTGCTCGTATCTTGGTTCCACCTGGTTCTAGTCCAGTGTCTCATCCACCTTCCCTCACTTTTCAGAATTTACACCCACTAACCCATACCTTTCTCAGAAAAACGCCAGCAGTTCCCACCCCACTGCTGGTTCTAGTCCTTCAGCTCATCTCGCTCTGCACTAGTTCACACCCTTGTCACGTCTGGCTCTTAATCACTCTCTCTTCCCTACTCCCAACTATTACCCCAGCTCTGCCCCTCTTCGCCTTCCACTTCCAACTCTTACCCCAGCGCCCCCCACCCCAATACTATCCCCTACAACGCTTTCCTCTTCAAATCCTTGCTCTTACACCTAACCCTAGGTCCCCACGTCTCCAGTCCCAGTCTTCCTAACCTCATTCCCTGCTTCCTTAACACCCACCCTGGGTTTTGACTCCTTCCTACCTCCTTGGCTGGTTTTTTCCTCACTCCTCTCCCTGGCTTCTAACCCTTTCTCCCCTTAATCCTCCTCATTTCATTCTTAGCCCGGTTCCCCTCAGCTGCCCCTAAACCTCCCCTCCCATCTCCCCTCAAGGCTTTTACCCTAAACCCAGTCGTCGTCCACCCCGCCAAAATTAAGCGCCCGCGCTCCCCGCCTCTCGCCTCCCGCCGGCCCC